CCCCATCCCCCCCCCCCCTCACCTACACAGAGCAACTTCTTTCCTTACAAATATAAAGTTCAAAGAAAACAACAGCACAGGTATCAAGGTGCGCCAACTAGCAAATTTTTTATCTAATTTTTATAAGGGGTCGTTCGCAAATAAGGTCTCGATGGGAAGGGGGGGGGGTCGGGAATTTGTGACAAGGGGGAGGGGGGTAGAAATTTGTAACGTCACGATTTTTTTTTTTAAATCTAAGATTTTCTAATTTTGATAAATCTTTATCAATTAATTTTAAAAAACCAACATTATTTTGAGGTCGAAATTCACTCAGATATTATAAGTACCGTGAAACTGAATCGCACGCACCTTCTGCGCATATCGAAAAATGACGTGGCCATTTTTCATTTGGCTCGGTGAGGACTTCGTTGTTTTGCGTTTTTCGTCACAGTTTTCTAATAACACCACATCTTAATCCATTATGGGAAAATGTTAAAGAATAAAATAAAATCTTAGTTTATTTATGAAAATTGTATGTACCGGTATGTTTTGAATTTTTAGGGGGTTCCGGTGACCGGGGGGGGGGGGGGATGGGGTAAAGAATTTGTGAAACTTTTTGACAGGGATAAGGGGTCTGAAAAGGTCATTTTCGTATTTAGTGAACGACGCCTAATTGGTCTTACGTGGAGAAAAAAGGTCTCGGTGTAACGGTTAAGGCAGTGTGTCCCGAACCTTTTTGTGCCATGCCCCACCAAAGCCTTGATAAAATTCTTATGCCCGCCCCAAGGGTTTCAGCTATGTCTCGGGGGAGGGGCAGTGCCCCCCACCCCCGGGGAAAGCCAAGTGCTCCTTGGAGCAAAAATATGTCCAACAATAAACCAACTGCCACTGCCCCCCCCCCCACCAAAAAAATCTGAAGTGCCCCCCCCCCTTTCTGGGGAAAATTTCTGAAAGCATCAATGCTCCCTCCTCCCCCCCCCCCCCCCCCNNNAATGTTACCCTCTCCCCCCCCCCCCCCCCATGTGTTATATACTTAAATATTCAAAAATTTCTTTAAAAATGATAGGTTTTCGGAAGAAAACAAAAATTGCTTTAGGAATGTATAGGTTTTACTAAGAAATTCTAAGGAAACACAGTAAGTAAATTTTCAAAAAGCATAACGGAGAAATGAAATTCAAGTACAAATAAAAGATTTTTCTAAAATATTTTCATTATTTATTGTTTCATTTATTATGCATCATTTCATAATTTTAAAATACATCGAGAGATCACAAACACAGTGTGAGATCATAACTAAAACGAGAGATCACAAATACAGTGTGAGATGACTAATCTAGTGAGAAAGTTGCGCTTGATGCTTGCTGCACAGAGATTTTTATGTTAGGCTCCAATTTAGATAGCTCCAGTCTCAAGATCTCACTGCGTATCAAGAATTTTTTTTTTTAGCAGCGAATTACTAATGGCACTAAATCTACATTCAGCTACATATGAAGATGACAACAATAACAATACCTATGGCAAGGGTAACAATAGCTGTCTTGTTCATAAATATTAAGATATCAACTGTAACAATCGATGTCTTGTTCATAAATATTAAGATAACAACGGTTACACTAGCTGTCTTGTACATTTGTTCAAATTTGGTTATTTTATTTCTTTTAACTCACAAAGCCACGCCATCGCTACTTTTATAGTAAATACATTTTAACGAACTCATCAATTTTGCGTTTCTGTGAGTTCTTCTCGATATTGCTGATTTGAAATATCAGACAAATCCATTACTATTGGCTGCCTTATCCAAGTCGGAAAATCAACTTATTTTAAATCACAAAATCTTTCTTCTAAATCAGCTGACAATTTTTTTAGTTTTTTTTACAATAACAAGTCTAGCGGTGTCAGTCACTTCACATTTTTTGAGCCTGTGAAACTTTTCGCAATGTTTGTTACATATATATTTCTGACATAATTTAATGTAATGAATAAATGTAATGAAACCAAATAGCTTCCTTTTTTTGCATCGACAAAAATTTTATCTGCTCCTTGAAGTTGGGTATTAACTATATTTAGTTGTTTTTTTTTCCAAAGATATCGGCTAAATAACTTACATATGATTTACCATCAACTGTTAACAGGCACTTCATTTCAGGTTTCTCACTTTAAGAAGTCACCAAAGAGCAAAAAAAAAGTTCCATAAATCTTTTTAACCAGTTACCTTTCGAGAGCCACCTTACTTCAGCGTGAAGTAAAAGTCTCAACATGGTCTCCGTTTTGTTCTCTCAGAGA